TGACCAGACCCGGCCTCTTGATCGCATTCGGCAGGAGAAAAAAAAAAGGTCAAAAAGGGAAAAGATTTGCCTCTCGCATCATTCTTTTTGACTTGGACTCGGTTCGGGAAATCGTCTTCTTCTGTGATTTTGACAGCATTTGATCTGGTTCCTCAGTTCGCAGACGCTCCCCTAAATCTCCCATCGTGAGGGGCATGTGTCTCACGTTCCGAGCCGGCGTCGAAAACTATGACGTCTGAACTGACTGATTTAACACCCAACCCTATGGGTTCAGGTATGTCATAGCTGCCATGCTGATCGGTTGGGATGGTTTATCCTAGATTTCTGCCAACCGTCTGACGCATGTCTGTTCCTTCAGAATCCCAAAATATGCATAACCCCGCCAAGATCCCCGGACAGGTCTCGGAGCCCGGTGACGCCGACGCCAAGTCAAGAGCTCAGCCTACCCAAGTCCGTTTTTCCTCCATCACGGAAGAAATTGAGCCAGGTCAATCCGAACTGTCCCCTGTACCAGAGAGCCCCTACCAATCTCTTTCAGAAGAGCAAAGGCTACCTACGGACGAGGAACAACTACGGTCGCTAGCGATGAGTATGCAGGGTGCACAGCTTCAGGAGTCGCGCCTGCGCAACTTCTCTTTTGACCCCATGTCTCTTCCTTCCTCCAGGGTATGTGATGTCTATCTCTAATCTGCCGGATGTTCTTCCGGATCTTCCCAATAGCTTCATGCTTTCAAAATTGAAATATATATCCCTTCATCCGACGGGCCCTGGGCGGAGACTCAGTGGACCGTGATAATCTTGTCATCATTCTAACTTTGGACCCTCATAGGTCGGCTCTCGAGAGTCGAGTGATCGGAGCGGACTTGGCACCGGTACCTTTGCCTCTCCACATGCCTCTCCTCCGGTCTCTGCTGTACAGTCACCGCCTCTCACTCCAGCTGCAACCCATTCTCGCGAAGGCAGAACCGGTGACAGTGCATCTCTGAAAGCTACCAGCCGACCCCATCTAGACACCAATTTTACCCCTGAAGCATCACCTCCAGTTGATTCGACCGACAAGAACGGCACGCCTCGACCCGCCTCATCCTCCCGACCCCTGTCGACCGATCACCTGCCCACCAGAAAAAGTGAAGGTTCAGATCGAGCTCCTCATTCCATCCCACTACCGAGACATCGTGCGCAATTCTTTATTGGAAATGACGAGGGCACTCAAGAAGAAAGCCCGCCTTCCACTCCAAGAGAGCCTATTACCCCGCCAGGGACCATGACCCCAGTTGGCGAACCTAATGATCCATATGCGCGACACAAGCGACCACCCCAATCCAAAAATCTTGCCCAGTTGGATCCACGGTTTATCTTCAGCGGTCGAGATGTCAAGCGCTCATTCCGTCCGGGGGCTCCCCGATCCACCAGCGCTAGTGACCTCAGCAAATCTAGCGACAAGCGGAGTATCTTTGGCAGTTCTAAGAAGGAGCATGGCGACAAGAGCAACAGCCACCAGCACCATGGCTCTATGTCTGAGCTGAAACGATTTTTCAAAATGGGTCATCGCAACAAGCGATCTGAGTCCCCGACGTCCATGCCTAAGAAATCGAGTCGGTCGTCTGTAAAGTCTACTCCGTATCAAATGGCTCCAGACAGTGTTCCTTTTGCCGATGATCATGGCCTGAATTCCAAGTATGGAAAGCTGGGCAGAGTACTCGGATCTGGAGCTGGTGGCTCCGTGCGTCTTTTGAAGCGCAACAGTGACGGCGTCACGTTTGCAGTGAAGCAATTCCGAGACCGTCATAACTGGGAGAGCTTGAAGGAGTACTCCAAGAAGGTGACTGCAGAGTTCTGTATTGGCTCCACCTTGCACCATGGCAACATCATCGAGACCTTGGATATCATCCAAGAAGGCCCTCGCTGGTATGAGGTCATGGAATATGCGCCGTTCGATCTGTTTGCTATCGTGATGACGGGCAAAATGGGCAAGGAGGAGATTGCCTGCTCTTTCAAGCAGATCTTAAGCGGTGTGGCGTACATCCACGGCATGGGTCTGGCCCATCGGGATCTGAAACTAGACAACGTGGTGGTGAATGACCGTGGCATCATGAAACTCATTGACTTCGGAAGTGCTGTCGTATTCCGCTATCCTTTCGAAAACGACATTGTCCCTGCTTCGGGTATGTATCCGTTTGTTTTGTTCAAGTCATGGTTGATGGTTATTGATTGACATGAGCAGGTATCGTTGGCTCGGACCCCTATCTTGCCCCGGAGGTCTACGACGAGAAGAAATATGACCCCCGCCCCACGGATGTTTGGTCGCTGGCGATCATCTTCTGCTGTATGACCTTGCGCCGTTTCCCATGGAAGCAACCGCGCATGACCGACAACTCATACAAGTTGTTCGTTTCCAGCCCGACCCCAGGCACTCCGGTTCCCGAACCCGACTCACGCCGTCGGCCCAAGTCGACCCCCGATCTGCCTTCCCAAGGCCATGACAGTAAGCATCTGACTCCTCGCTCGAGCGGACCTTCCGACCAATCTGCCCCGGATCAGACTGCAACCGGAACTGAAAACGGAGACGCGAAAAAAACAGAGCCCTCGCAGAAGGACGGTGATCGCTCCCCCGAAACTGCGCAAAAGCAGATCAGCCAAATCAGCTACGGCCCTCATGAGCGGACCACCCGTACAACCAGCAAAGAGGCGCCACCGGTTCCGACATCATCACAGAATTCCGGGCAACGCCAGGAAGTCATTAAAGGCCCATGGCGACTTCTTCGGATCTTGCCTCGGGAAAGTCGGTACATCATTGGCCGCATGCTGAAGACCAACCCGAAAAATCGAGCAACACTCGACGAGGTAATGTCGGATGACTGGGTTAGGAACATTCACGCATGCCGACAGGACGAAACTGGTGAAACCATCAGTGCCCCCGGCCACACACACGTCCTCGAGCCCCCCGCTCAGAGCCCTGCTGTGGCCAGCAAAGCTACCAAGGCTAAATAATATCCCTTCTTTGTATCAACTTCTCCTTGTGTCTAAATATCCCCTTTATCCTTTGAAAACGGGATAACACTTTTGTCCCCTTCCCTTTCGCGTTTACTGTGTGATTCCCTACGAGTACTGTAGATAATTTTGGCGGTTTCCCTCATTCCCCGGGCCGTGTTTGAGCTGAGTTGATATTCTTGAATAAACGTCTGTGAAATTTTACCGCGCTCGAGTTTCTCTGGAGATCTTGAAGAAAATGGAGCACTGGCTCTGGGTCGACGACGATAGATGTTGTTGATAGACTTGGTGTTGTGTCAGGGGGGGTTTTTTTTCCTTCCGGGCATTCTTTTACCAAGGCATCCCCCTCATGCGAGAGAGAGCTTTACGTGCTTAAGTAGTAGATCCATGTCACTGCGAACATGCAACCTACTGTAGATTCATGTAGATTGAACTTGACGTAGCGGCGATATCGGACGGCCGGACCGCACCAAAAGAAACTGCCAGTCACCCGCGGAGCTTCTCCGTTTAGCCCGCCTCTGTACAACACACTTCGTTGCTATTCTCCCTTTCGATTCCACCCAATTGGCCATGTGCTTGTGAGAGAAAAAGTTCCATAACCAATTCTACACCAAAATGGTCCAAAACCCTGACGGGGAGCCATTGGTCTCCTCTCTGTGGACGAGGTCATTAATTGTAACCTTCTCCAAAGCTCTTCCCAGGAGTATCCCTCTAACAGCTCTACAACTATACAGTCCGGCGCCATTGCAGGCCTAACCGTTGACTGCTCCCTCTATCCCCTTGACACCATCAAAACCCGACTCCAAAAAGCACGCGACCACTCCGCGCCGCAAACCCGAGTCTCTTTACGCCAAACCTTCCGCGGTATCTACGCCGGTCTCCCATCCGTCCTCTTTGGCTCTGCTCCCTCCGCCGCCACCTTCTTCATCGTCTACGATGGCGTCAAGCGCACCCTTCTCGCACCCCCACCGGTCAACAGCAAAACCAACCCCCAATCCCGCTCCCACATAATCCTCACACACTCCCTCGCCTCCTCCCTCGGCGAAATCGCCGCATGCGCCGTCCGCGTCCCAACAGAAGTCATCAAGCAGCGCGCCCAAGCCGGCCTCTTCGGCGGCTCGAGTCTCCTCGCCCTAAAGGACATCCTGTCCCTGCGCCATGCGGCCCCAGCAAGCACAACTTCAACTCCAGCAGCGAAGCGCGGCTATAGCCAGGTCTTCCGCGAACTCTACCGCGGAGCCGGAATCACCATCGCCCGCGAGATCCCCTTTACCGTGCTGCAATTCACAATGTGGGAGTCGATGAAGGAAGCTTACGGCAAGCGGTACCTGCGAACCGTGGAGACGGCCACGTCTCTCGCCGAGACACAGATCCCCGCTTCGACGAGCGCCATGTTCGGCAGTGTTGCCGGCGCCATTTCGGCTGGTCTGACTACCCCGCTGGACGTGATTAAGACGCGGGTCATGCTTGCACGCCGTGGAGACGGGGGCGTTGACACGCCTGTTCGTGTCAAGGAGATTGTGCGCGGAATTGCGCGTGAAGGGCCAGGTGCTTTCTGGCGTGGTATCACGCCGCGTGTTACCTGGATTGGTATTGGTGGAGCTGTTTTCCTTGGAAGTTATCAGTACGCTTCGAATACTCTTGAAGGGCGTCGGGAGGTGCAGGCTGAGAAGGGTCTTTGATTGGATTCTACGTTCTTTCTTGGCCCTGTGGTTTGTACAATGTAGCTATTTAGAAGGTGAAAGAACATAGATGCGAGAAAGCGAGTTGCTTTGGACAAATATAAATGTTACGTGCTTTATTTGCTAGGACTGCTTGGCTCGACTTTGTGCATCCAGCTCAATTTCTGGACTTGCTCTGCAGCCCGGAGTTGTTCCATCTGACCTTTCCGCAGGAAACCATCGTCTACAGACTCAAAGCCTGGGATATCAACATTGGGGGAATTGGTCAACTGTCGCTACCGTTTTAAAGATCTAGATCTATAAGATGCACAAAACCTACCTCACTAATCAACAAGCCTGAGGAAGTCTCTCTCTCCCCCCCCCCACAGCAGACTTATTCGGCAGCAACAGAAAGACATTTATGCTTACCCCCTTCAAAATCCAACTACACTCTCTCTTCCCACCCTCAATACCGGCCCCTACCACAAATGTCTCAATCCGCGCCTTGGCCTTCTCCGGCTGTGATTCAGGCTTACCTCGTCCACGTGGATCATAACGTACTGCCCCCCCCCCTCCGGCGCCCTCTTTGCCAGGCGTACACCGGGTGACTTTGGTCCTAGTGGGCGCTGCGGTGGGAGGAGGTAGGAGATTGAGGAGCTTCTGGAGTGGGGTTCGGTATCTGTGTTTGTTTTGATTTCTGTTTTCGGGGTTATCTTCTGTCAGCCCGGATCTCATTGCGTCTCGCGGAATTAGCCACCTTCTGAATGTGGGTGGAGGTTTAGGGCGTTGATGGTGGTGGATTGGATTGAGGGCTCTTCCTGGGTTGGGGATGGGAAGGCAAGCATGCCGGTTTCCTTTGGGAGATGGAAACATCCATATTTCTCTTTTATATGGTGTTTTAACACATGAATGATAGATTTGTAGATCCAAGAGGTTTGGGGGAAGGGGAGAGAGACAGGCTCTCGGGGTGTGAAGAGTGGCGAGCAATGACGAAGAGCATGTTACGTTTCAGGTATGTATACCCTGTTGGCTTGTAGATGGGTGAGAATTCCAAACAGGATTTTAGAGCTCTGCAATGAAGGTAAATCATGTCTCCGACGTTGTTCATGTGTGTTGGAAGTGGTTGGTATTGCAAAACATGCTCTCACTTACTCCACGAGTCACTTGAAACATGCAAAAGAGAATGTATTGCCTCCAAGTAACCTCTCATCCGTGCCCTATAATCTCTTCTACCAAATTGAATCTCATAATTTTGCAAAGAATCAAGTACGCTCTGTTTGACATATCTATACAACAGGTACCTGATTTGGACAACAACGAAGTATTGCCCACCCTCTCGTTCATCGTCAACATAGTTGACATCCACATGGCAACCTACATGTTAGAACTTTCCTTATAGCAAACCTTGGTTAGTCGCAGGTGCGGAGATCAATAGCTGCATAGCTTTAGAGTGCGAGACGCTCTTCGAAAAGATACGAACTGCAGTCTTCTCAGCCTCAAACTGAGCCGCATCTTGGCGATGCAGCCAAGCTCTATCTGTTTGTTCGATATGACCTTCAACCTCCCTTCCATACAAAACGAGCGACTGACTATGGATCAGGGCCTTGGGGCTAGACTGCGAGCGCAAATCTGTTGGGTCGTTATTACTCCTCCCTATCAAGTCATTCGGAGCGAGCAGTTCACTACCTTCGCTAATGAAGTTGAAGGACTGTTTTATTCAAGAGGGTAAAAACTATTAGATCCTTAGAGTCATAGATAGGATTGGTATTGCGTTTCTAAGGTCATATCTGTGTCATAGGCAACAGAATAAGGTAGTGAGATGACCAGAACCGAGAAGCATTCCAAAAAGGGAAACGGAGAAGCCCCCGGACGATCAGAGAGACTATTTCATAAATTGACAAAGATTTCAAGTGATTCATACTGTTTCAAATCAAATGAGATCAACAATCTACAAGGAATAATATGGCCCTGAAGCAAAAGCACCCAAGTATCAACAGATAGATCCTGCCGGTGCCTGGTGCCTCCAACTTGAGAGAACTTCCCCTCATTTGAGGATTTCCCCCTTGGTCGATTCTTTTTTTTTCCAAGATCGTTTGACTACTTTTCTCCGACGTGAATGGCTCTGTGACGTTTACTTTCCCCACCAAAGCTGAACGTGCGATCGGCCTTGAGGGCAGATAAGCTCCGCATTCTCATCTCCGCAATTGGTTTCACTCCTTCAACGCTGCATGTATGGCACGCAAACTGAGCCACCAGAGGGTCACCTATGGTAAGTTGGATCCTATGTTTTCCCTCTCGGATTGCTGACTGTGTCTCTCACTCTGTTAGTCCTCCCTCTGCCTGATGCCCCCGGTGGGCACCGGTTGGGGGTCAATGGCCTGACTGTCGACTGCCAAAATTCCATCCTGTAAGTATTTCTCCCTCGTTATGCTGGGATTCAGAATCTAGATCTGAACGGCCATGTTTGCGACCGCGATCTTCCGAAAACCAAGCTCCCCATCCCCGTGGGTAGCCCGGATACTAATATGCCGTCCCCTCTCCTAGCTACTCCGCGGGCCGCGACGGCGTCATCTGTTCCTGGGATCTCGACCTTCCTCTTCCATCCACGTCTGCGCCGAATGACGCACCAGCTCCTGACCAAAAACCCAGTCCCACCAGCTTCAAAACCCAGGTTCAAGCTCATAGTCATTGGATCAACGACATAGTCTTGGCACAGAACAACTCTGTGCTCGTTTCCGCTTCGTCCGACACGACTGTGCGACTTTGGCGCCCACATTCAGAGTCCACCGAGGTGCCGGACCGCATTGGGAAACACACCGATTTTGTGAAGGCTCTGGCGAGCCCCGGTAGCAATGCTACTTGGGTTGCCTCGGGGGGTCTTGATCAAAAGGTTTACCTTTGGGATTTAAATGGCGGTGGGGAGATCTTGAACATCAATGCAGGTGGAGAAGACTCCACAGATAAAGGATCTGTCTATGCGCTGGGTGCGGTCTCGTCGGTGCTCGCTAGCGGTGGCCCTGAAAATGTTGTCCGAGTATGGGATCCCAGGTCCGGAAAGCTCGTGACCAAGTTCGTGGGCCATACAGACAATATTCGTGATATTATGATCAACCAGTCCGGCGATACAATCATGACGGGGTCGTCTGATCAGACGATCAAGATCTGGTCTCTCACGGCGGGACGATGCATGAATACCCTGACCATGCACAACGATAGCGTGTGGTCCCTTTACTCGGACCACCCTGATCTCTCTGTCTTCTATTCAAGTGACCGATCTGGCTTGGTGGCGAAGACCGACATGCGAGGATCGACAGATCCCGACCAAGGCCTCTCCATCGCCGCACTCCAAGAGCACGAGGGCGTTGTTAAGGTTGTGGCGGCGGGAGACTACATCTGGACAGCTACTCCCAAGTCTAGCGTCCACCGCTGGCGAGATGTTGACACTACAGTCGGAATTGAGCCGCCGCCCGACCCAGCCCGTACCGTAGACTCGGCTACAGTGCCCGTAACCCCTCCAGAGAAGGGACCGAAGAAGATTCCATTTCATGCTGTTTTGCAGTTATCAGCGACATCAGTTATCGGTGGCTCAGCCCCTAAACCGATTTCCTCGGAGCCTAACTTGGAGGCAATTGGCCTAACAATCCCGGTTCATCCACAGCCCGAGGAAACTATTGAAGGCCAGCATGGCTTGATCAAGTGCTTGATGTTGAATGATCGGAGGCGCACACTTACGCAGGATTCAGCAGGAGAGGTTGTTCTCTGGGACCTGCTGAAGGTGATTTGGTTACATCCGAACTGACAAGTCTGAGACATCGACTGACATGAACCTAGTGTATCCCTATCCAAAACTTCGGTAAGCGTCATATGGATGATGTTGAGTCAGAGGTAAACACCGTTGATAGCATTGGACATTGGTGTGCCATCGACGTGCGCACCGGCAGGTTGTCAGTCATTTTGGAGCCCAATCGCTGCTTCGACGCAGAGGTTTATGCCGACGAGACCGATCTACCACCCTCTGATCTGTATCAGTTTAGAGAAGATCAAAGAAGTGAGTCTTCTTTTCCTTAGACAATTTATTTTTGCTCGCTTGTCGAGTTTAGTGCGGATCCTTTGCCCTGCTAACATCACGCAGTCAATCTCGGCAAGTGGATTTTGCGTTGGCTGTTTGCTCCGGTAGTGGACGAGGAAATCCGACTAGACAACGAATACCGCCAAGCTGCCATCGCTAGAGCAGAAGAAAATGCCCGACAGAATTCGCTGACTACATCGGTACCTGGAGATGATATCCCTCGCAGCGTTGGTATACCCATATCGAACCCTCAGCAGAGAACGAGTCTGCGTCCCAACTCAGACTTCCCTGGCAGCCCGAATGTCGGCTTTAGCATTAACGCTGGCACACCATCATCAAACTACTTGAGCACTTCCATGCAGAGCAACTCTCCGTTCCCAGGGTTTGATTCAGACACAACCGATACCTCAATGCTCACAAGTTCCCATCTCGATGGCGGGCCACCATCCTTTTTATCAAATGACTACTTCTCGAAAAGGCCCCTAGCAGCCCTACAAGCAGACACCGACAAGTCTCTTCTGTCTCCGTCAGATGCAGCCTCAAATCCAGGGGCTCTTCAAACTCCCGCAGAGCCCGATAAGGAAGAGCGGAAGAAATCGCTATTTGGAAAGAAGTTTCAAATGAATTTCCCCAAGAAGTTAGGTCGCAATTCTACGGACACGAAGCCTCAGATATTGGAAGAGAAGGCCGAGGAGTCGGAGGTCTCCTCTATCAAGGAAGAGAAGGTGTATGAGCCCAATCTCTGTGGCGTGGTTAACCGCATTCGTGATGATTACGAAGAACTCCTGGCTACAAATCCAGATCGGGATTTGGAGACGGCTCTTTTGCCAAGTTCTGAGGATGAAGCCCCGCGACTGGAGATTCCATCTCGGACTGTAGTCTTCATCCAGGAGGAGACCGGCGATGCTGCTGTGGCCTCGGATCTTTACAGAGGTACTGTAGGTCGCATTGGCAATGACCTCGAAAGGCTCAAAAAATCAATTCCTCATTGGCTTGGTGAGCTTCTCCTCAAGGTAAGTCTATCTCTCCCGATCTTTTTCTTCCTCTCTTACTGATTCATGGTCTTAGAATCAAATTCCCTTCAAGGAGCAGGTCAAGATCGCCTTTGTGTTGAAACCCTTCGATGATACCCTGCCACCAGTCATCAAGCCCGAACCGTATGTTTTGGATCTTCTCTACTCTGGAATGCATAATTTTGATGAGACTAATCTCCGCTTTTCATCCAGACCGGCTCCTAACGGTGCCCCTCCGGGTAACCCGAACACCAATAACAATGGTTCTCGTCTCAATGCCAACCGCATGCTCCGAACGAAGAAGGTACTTGCTTATATTGCAGAGCGCATCGACCCAGCAAACCCGGATGAACCAGCGGAGTCCGTTATGCCACCAGAGGAGTACCTCGAGCTATACTGCCAGAAGATGGTAAAATTCTCTCCCATCTTGTACAAAGCTAGGCCTACTAATCGCGATCGCTTTCCACAGCTCTGTCCGCCAAACATGACTCTAGCAACGATTCGCACGCGCTTCTGGCGCACCTCGGGAGACATGGTTCTTCACTACAAGACAAACGGCAAGAAAGAGATCCACCCGCCCCGGTCTCTCCTGGGTATTGACGAGAATCGTGCCTTGGTGGAGGAACCTCATATTTCGAACGGGGATAGCAATGCACATGCACCTCCCGGGAGTATCCACTCCGTGACAAACTCGGCCTCTGTCGCAGGATCTGCTATAACCTAACGAAAGACGCCGGCCTCTGAACCTTTTTCATCTTTTTCCTTTTTTTTCAGACGGTACATTTTGATATTCAGCCTAAGCCAATGCTACATGCATGGATCTCTAGTACATACGGGCGAGACATTTTTTCTTTTTTGATTTTTTGATTTTTTTGATGTCTTTGGCATCTACTATTTCTCTTCTTATGGATGTTAGGACATCTGGCTTGCTGGCCATTGCTTTGGGCCTTGCTTTTGCCTCACAGCTTGCAATTTCATTATTAATGTTGACGGTATCACCCGCAACTTTGACGAAGAATCAAATTTATGGATCCTTCACAGCCTCCCGTTTGTAATTTCCGTTCATGGCCCCTGAATCGCGACACGAACCGGAGTCCCAAGAGAAACCCATGTACTACTCACATGCCCATTTCCCTGATTTGTCCCGATTCGACCAGAATCTCAAGTCTTCGTTTCAATCACTTATGACGGCCCAGGAGAAGAGCAACGGTTGCATTGCATGGCTATAGACAACATGGATACCACCATGGCCCCAAGCTTGAATCGACAACCAATCGCCCTATGCCTTACACCAACGAATCTCTCTCCACCTGAGAATTCTCCAACCCCTCAGTCTAACAGCCAGTCTCACTCCCATTTCCCTCATCCTCAACCCCAACTGTTCCCCTCTCAGCAACGCCATTTAGGTGCATCCAGAAGCACGATTGCTAAGACAGACATCACCACCCTGGTCCCCAGTTCCATATCCCTCACAAGAAGCACTAGTCTTCTGCTCAGCCTGCACCTCCTGATTACAAGCCGTCCAAGTAGTCGAGAAAAACCCAGCCCGCACGGTATAAGTCGACCAACTCACACAGCAGTTCGATCCACCCTGCTGCTCGCAATGACTGCGCGGCGCGCTCCCAATCTGCTGATCAAACTGACAAGTCGTACCAGAGATACAAGAGAACACAGTACCGCACGCACTCCACAGCACAGCATGCGCAGCGCTAGTCTGGAAGCTCGATCGCTTCTCAAGGCCCTTGTTGGCGACAGTGACGTTACCTGCGACGTGTGCCAGCAAGGACTCCACGTCGCCTGTCATGTCGGCGTCGTTCTCATCGTATTTCTTCGCGTATGCGGCTTCGGTCAGCATCCGCGCCTTTTCCTCGTCGCTGCTTGCGGAGTGCGGGTCCAGGGCCGTGAGCCAGGATTCCGTTGTGGCGGAGTAGCCCACGAAGCGGACGTCCACGTCGAAGGCGCTGAGATCGGCTTTTGCGTCCGGGAAGTAGTCTGCGGCTACGTGGTTCACGATGAAGCCGGTTGAAGAGGGGGAGGGGGCTGGGGTTTGGGGCAGGGCAGAGCCGACGGTAAGCTGGGAAAGACCCAGTATCAGGCTGGTGATGATGGTGGTAGAGAGCATCTTGGAGAAGAAGAAGAAGAAGAACTTGTGCTTGGTTGAGTGGATGTTGGATGATTCCAAAGATGAATGCTTGCTGTTCTGGTTGAGAGTTCTCTTTCCTCCGTACTTTCTCGGGGCTCTTGTAGTTTGGGCTTCTGCCCAGGCAGCCAGTGAGACGGGTGCTTGGTCGAGGAGGATGCCGTGGCTAAAGAAGCCATGCATGCAGGCGATGCCTTCTACTCGCCCTTTTTTTCTTTGACTCAAATTTGGGCATGCATGAGGTTACATCCCACACAGATAGGAGGCATATGGCTTGGTTCAGGCTTAGTATCCTCGTTCTCTCGTGCAGATGAGACCGTTGCCTTGGTGGGATTGGACAATTTGACCAGCCCTAGTTGAGGAGCGCCACGCATAACTGTATTCCCTTCATGTGGCTTGTAGATCGGATCAGCTTACGGCTTTATGGTTTTGTGGATAACAGGTTTACGGAATGAAAGCCAGGCAATGAAGGAAGGGGGAGGGGTTGTTCTGTTTAGAGCAGAATTTGCTCTACCGCGTTTACTTCGTTTGAATCAAAGACATCGAGAGTCATGATCGGTCCAAGTATGGAGTCAAACCATGAAGTATGAAACAGGAAGATGCATGATGTGTCGGGCATCCACTTTACGGCTTTTCGTAGGCAGCTCATTCTTAAATTAGCTTAGCCTGGAAGAGAGCAGAAACAAGCTAAACTCAACCTGAATTAAAGTAACCAATACCAACGATCAACAGGTACAACATAAATCCAAAATAGACTGCTGAGTCCAGGGCTGACACATGGCGACGAACACCTGTTTCCCCCCTAGTTCCCCCCTAGTCCCATGTGGCGTTTTGCGCCCCATGACTCAATCTGTCTTCACAGTTGAAATTGACGGCCCCGCAGGGACCTCGGTAGCATCGCTCCCGCACAAGCGACGTCGTAGTTGAGGGTTGGCATTTTTGGAATTAAAGGGCCAGCCGCGAGTGATCAGAAAAACCAAAGTCGGAATAGAGAGGATCCAGAGAGAGGCCAAGACGAGGAAGGTCTGGAAGGGAGCTGTCTCCAGGCGTTCACCGATGAAGGTACCGCAGTGCATCAGGAATGTTCCAAGTAAAGATGACGGTGCCATGTCTGGTGATGAGGATGTAGCTTGGCGGTTAGAAGAGAATCGGTAGAGAGGGAAGAGGGAAGGGAAGATCTGGAGGGAAGATAGTCCTGTATGTTGTAGCCAACAAAGAACTTCCCAAATAAGCGTCTGCCTAACGTCTGCCCTGAGTTACCACAAAAGAGCGACGACGATCTTTGATCTGCAATTTTTCTGAAATAGGAACACCTGATGTCCATGATAATGCAGACAGGTCACATTTTGCTGATGCTAAATCTGACCCACAGATCATGGGAAAAGTGCCACTTTCCTATTGGAGATCCTTCTGAAGGCTTCTCGATAGAGAGATGATTTAACTCGTCAGCTCCAGGAAACACATGGGGCCGAGATAAAAAAAAAAATTGTGTTTGGATGGTCTCCGATCTACAAGCCATCATGTTTAGTCTACCACATCTCTATCATCACATTGTCGGCATTTTCCCACAACCCGTAAGACAACGCTTCGAGATGATTTCTCCGCATGGACGGTGGTAGACCGATCTCATCCATTTCCCATTTTTGAGGTCACAGCGATCACGGGGCCACTTGGTGTCGATCCGGGTATCCGTGGACTTTACCAGGTGCTGACTAACGGTTAGCCATGATGTGAAGGCCATTCCTGTCGACATCACCCAAACAACATCGGCCCCCTTTTGCAAGAGATATGCAATGCAGTACATATCTCGGAGGTCGGTCCGTGCAATTGTGCACTGCCTAGCGTGTCTAACCTTGTATTAAGGCTTTGCCTACTCCGTACAGATTCCTGCAACACATATTCAAAGTGTCAACGCTAACCCTAGATCGTTTCCAAAAGGGTTTCAATGTCGAGTCTGAAATTAAGGAGACGAAGTTACGAAATTGGGGACAACATACGATGGGAAGGAAAAAAAAAAAAAAAAAGGTCGAGTATAAAAAGTGTGGGCTGATCCGACGGAGAAAATAGGGACTGGGATTATTGAGGCTGAACTGCCCTTGACCCCTGTTTCATCTGTACTTTTTTTTTTTTTTCTACCCTACTAGATCTCAAGAATTAGACCAAGTGAATGAAGATCAGAGATTGTAAGAAAAAAGAGGTGTGTCTAAGGGGATCTACTCATCCAATCTAGTACAACCCAATCGCATTTTGCCTACTGGGGTCCAATCCACTGCAGGATGGACAGCATAGTTCACTAGTTCACAAGTTCACAAGTTCAAAATATACCACGCCCAGTATAAAAGATCAAATAAAATGGAGTCGTGAAAAGTCCGAAGCCGTTGGGTACAAGTAGCGGGAACCCCGCCTAAACCCGAACTCGTCTTCTTCTTCTTCTTCTTTCCCGCTAACATCATACGGTGGCACGCACCCACAAGGGCATACAACAGATATCTTCCAAAAATGACAAAAGCATCAACTGAAGAATATCCATATAACCTTGGGTCTTACGGGAAGGTGATTACAACCACTAGCCCGGAAGCCCAAATATGGTTTGACCGTGGGCTCGTGTGGGCGTACTCTTTCAACCATAAGGAATCTGTCGTCTGTTTCAAACAGGCACTGGTGCATGATCCATTATGTGTGATGGCCTACTGGGGGATGGCCTATTCTCTCGGTCCCAACTACAACCAACCTTGGGATTTTCTCGGCAACGATTTGGCCGCCATCGTTAAAAACACGTATCGAGCGACAGTCAAAGCTCGATTCCTCTCTAAAAAAAATGGTTCCCCCCTGGAACAGGCCCTCACCAAGGCAATCTCCGCCCGCTACCAAAGTGATAAGCCGGCCAGCATGGCACAATATGCTATTCAAAATCTGGCCTATGCTGATGCCATGAAAGAGGCATATGAAAGTTTTAGTGATGATTTGGACGTGGTCACTCTGTACGCTGATTCCCTGATCAGCCTCACCCCCTGGAAATTGTGGGACAAGGTGACCGGTGCACCAAACCCAGGTGCTCGTACCATGGAAGCAAAGAGAGTGCTGGAGACAGCTCTCCAACATAAAGATGCCTCAAAACATCCCGGCCTCCTGCACATGTACATCCATCTTATTGAAATGTCGCCCTTCCCAGAATTAGGTCTCCGACCGGCGGACTATCTCCGCGATCTGGTGCCAGATGCGGGCCATATCACGCACATGCCATCCCACCTGGACGTGCTGGTTGGAGACTACCGAAGTGCCGTCCGCGCAAACCAGCGTGCCGCTATTGCAGACGAGAAATATCTGGCGCTGAAAGGCCCATTCAATTTCTACTCCGTCTACCGCATGCACACCTACCACTCTCTCATCTACGCCGCCATGTTTGCCGGCCAGAAACAGGCCGCATTCAGAGCCGTGGATCGCATGGAGGCCACTTTGCCGAAAGAACTGCTCTCGGCACTGGCGGACTACATCGAGGTCTTCATGTCTGTGCGCGCACACATCATGATACGGTTCGGCATGTGGGATGAAATTATCAAAATCCCGATCCCCTCAGATCCAGAGCTGTACTGCATGACGATAGCGGTTCTGCACTACGCCAAGGGCGTGGCATATGCAGCCTCGGGGAACGTGCCGGATGCAGAGCGTGAGCGAGAGCTCTACCGAGCCGCGCGAGATCGGGTCCCCGATACGCGCTTGGACTGGCCCAACAAGTGCATCGATATTCTGGGGGTGGCGTCGGAAATGCTGGACGGAGAGATCGAGTACCGTCGTGGGAACTACACCGAGGCTTTCGAGCATCTACGTCGCTCGATTGACTTGGATGATAGTCTGGGTTACAGTGAGCCCTGGAGTTGGATGCAGCCCACTCGCCATGCATATGCGGCTCTTTTGTTAGAGCAGGGTCATGTTGAGGATGCAGCGGCTGTCTACCAGGCTGACCTGGGTCTTGATAGCACTCTAATCCGTGCTCGTCAGCATCCGAATAATGTATGGGCTTTGCAGGGCTATCATGAATGTTTGATACGTCTTGGTCGGCATGATGAGGCGCGCATCATTGGACCGCAGTTGGCGGTAGCAGCTGCCGTGGCTGATGTGCCTGTAACGTCTTCATGTTTCTGTCGTCTGGATACCTCGCAAGCGCCCAATCTTGGCAAGAGTTGTTGCAAATAAATTGATATCTGTAAATGGTGTTTTTCTAACTCATACTAGCAAATTCATTAATGGACAATGTATACTTCAGATTTCACCGAGGTTTCGCAGTATTGATCGCCGATAGCGGGCGTTCCTCTCCCCAATGACGTAATGACGGCTGACTTGGGGTCTTTGGTCCAAAGATCTCTCTCTTCATCTATCTCTGGATGCTCTATCAATTTAGATCAGGGTAGATTCATGTCCATCCTGACCTTTTGAGGCTGCCTCCAGTGGCACCACAGCATGAAGATCCCTCTACCGTTATCAGACCATTTGACCAACGTTCTCAAGCAAACGTCTCCTGCGTCTTAGATTGCTGTTTTTTGAGGGTGTTGAGGGGAGAGCTACGACATGGGGGTGAAAATCCTTGGCAGATCTCTGGAATCTGATATGATTTCTGAGGGTGTCGGGGGAATATGGGTCGGAACATCGAGGGCGCTAAGTTGGCAGCTTTTTCTAACTGCTTTGAGATCTAGAAACACCAATCTCCACACTTGTGCAGCCCTAGAACAACTTTTTGGGTAGTCTTTTTAGACGTCGTTCCTCCTCCCCCACCCACTCTTTTTACGATTTTCCACCTTGTAGCCAGAATACAGACAATAAAAACGGCCTGGGGTGCGCAGGACGACTTTTCCCAGCATGACCATTTGTATGCAGATCGTCGCTGTGCCATGGTGTTGGTTTGCCGCAACATATCGAGTCACACAGGCAAGCAACATTTAGAACTCACCAACCAACCTATGTTACTATCACCATCAGAACACTAAGATATTTCCCTCCAATATCTCCATCGGAACTCGTGATACTTTAGTTGAAGAATAAATGGAATCTCGGCGACTTGTTTGAAGACCATCTGGTCACGTTCTCGGGAAAACTGAAGGGCCGAGCCGACGATATCACCCCGAGGTTCTCCTGCGCGTTCAGTAATCGATAGGTCGATCATGATGTTGAACTTTCGAGCCTAGGTTTGAATCAAGGGGGTGTAGACATGGCTGGAAATATATCAATCTCCCCATTTCTGTTCCAGCGTTGCTTCCAGCAAGCATGGTCCGGATCGCGACGGGCTCGCGTCAAATATGGCAGGACCAAATATGGAAAGAAGCCCGGTGATGATGATGCTTTGCAGCTTCCACGGAGGGTTGGTAAGCTTTGAAGAAAGATTATACGCTAGTTGTTAGTATCTCCAGAGCTTATAGCTAACGCGCGAATGGGTAGGAATCGCCGTTAGTGGCGGCGCCGACTCTATGGCTCTGGCATACCTATGCAAGCAACTAGAACGCTCTTCTGATGTTGCCGGAGCAATTTCCGTCACTGCTTTCGTGGTAGATCATCGTGCCCGTCCTGAAAGCACTGTTGAGGCACAAAAGGTTGCTGGCTGGCTTCGTGAGATGGGTACGCCCCAAGTCGGAAGATTTACATTCCTGGAAGATGAATTAACCTTACTTAAACAGACATAAGAACTCAGATTCTCAGTTTGGACTGGTCGGAAATGACTTCAAGTCAATCATCGTCGCCAAAGTCTGGAGCATCAAGTCCCCTGCCATCCGCCTTTGAGACACATGCTCGACGACTCCGCTTCCAAGCTCTCGGGATAGCTTGTCATGAGTTCCAACTTGAAACATTGCTTTTAGGCCATCATCAAGATGATAACGTTGAAACCACCATTTGGCGGCTTTCCGCTGGGGCAAGTTGTTTAGGTCTTGGCGGCATCCCCGAAGTTGCTCGAATCCCCGAATGCCACGGTCTCTTCGGGGCCTCTGAGAGCTGGTCAACTACGTCCATCCCCACAAGACCACCGACTAAACCCCAAGCCCAAGTTCGATTCGATAACCAGAAGCAAGGATTCATCACTTTTCCCGACCCAAACGCTGGAGCAAAAACAATCTACTCCAATCTCACATCCAATGTAAACATGGCAAGCCCCGGCATCTTTATCTGCCGACCTCTACTCTCCTTCACCAAAGCAAGTCTTTTGGAGACCTGCCACAAAAACCAAGTCCCCTACGTCTCCGACCCAACAAATTTCGACCCAACCCTCACTCCCCGGAACGCCATCCGCAGCCTTCGCACCTCAAACTCCCTACCCCGTGCGCTGGAATCACAATCTATCCTCTCCCTAATCCGCTCAAGTCAAAACCTCCTCCAGAAGTCAAACGAGCTTGCCAACTACCTCCTCTCATCTCAATGCCGAATCCTAGATTTCAACCCCAAGGCAGGGTCAGCGGTCATTCAGTTCCTAGACACAACCCCAGCATCCATGGACCCCCAAATAGCAACGTTATCAGCGTCTCGAATCCGACAGATCCAGACCATCGTTCTCCGCCGCATCACGGAACTAGTCTCTCCATTCCCCGACAGCCATTTCTCGCTCCGCAGCTATGAGTCGCTAGTACCTAACGTTTTCCCCGATGCAGATGGCTCTCAGGGCGCAAGTACAAGACCCAATGACCAGAAAAGAAGAAAAGCCTTCACGGTAGCAGGGGTTCTGTTCCAGCGTCTCGCAAACGAAGCCTCCACGCTTGGAAAGTCCCAAGACCCACGTCTCGGGGGTGATAACATCTGGTTGCTATCTCGGCAACCATTCATGAGAGATCGTGACCCCGTGACGCAAATCAACGTTTCGCCTAGTGGCAGTTTTACTCCGTGGGTTTTGTGGGATAATCGATACTGGATGCGACTACGTCTTGTTCCGGTCGACCGTGATCCCAGTGAACTGGGGGATCAACTGATTAGTGTTCCTCTTACGATACGTCCGTTCCATAAATTTGATATTGAACGGATACGCAAAGATTGGGTCCATCCAAGGCCGCAGGGGCGAACAAACTCTGCCACTGAACAGAAAATGCCCGGGACTTTTGAGCACCTCAAAGCCCTCTTGTCTGCGGAAGCGCCTGCTCAGCTAAGGTTCACTTTACCCGTGGTATCAAGGGAAGGCATCGTGTCTAAGCCAGGAAAGCCTCTGGGTCAGAAGGTTTGGCAACAGCTGGCATTGCCGACTTTGGAATATCGACTATCTGGCCATTCGGCTCAATATTCTTCACTCGGTGAGGTGGAATTGGTACATCTACGCTGTCGCTGGAGACTGAAATGGCAGTGGATGTACAAACTGATTGACACTGAGGCACTACGCCTGATGGGCTGGCCGGTGGGTAAAGATATCGAAGAGACTTAGTATACATGACAACAACACCTAGAACAAAAAAAAAGCAAACCCTGTAAAATCTTGATCTCATGAGCTGTGCATGCATGGTCAATGGCGATCTGAGCGGATTGGCCAGTATGAAGGGTGGCATGTAATAGTAATGAATACAGGTAAGAAAGGTTCATGATATGTATGCAATGAATAGGTGTTCAAAGGAAAGTAGAAGCAGCTTGTGCGGTATCAAAATACAAGGTGAGAGAAAAAGGTAAATGTGACAGGTGTCAGGTTGTTGAGTAAGATGTCCAGGTGCAGGAAAGGAATGAATGATGGGACAAGCCCTCGATGCTGTGCATTGGGTCATTGCTCACTCGTCTTGAGTAGTGCAGCGGCAGCTGATTGGGCTCGAAGACCCCCGACTTCTCGTTTTAAGCGGAAGTTTTCTTTCTTCACTCGGCCGATCTCGTCTAGAGCACTTGCCAGTTGAGATTTCAAGGCGTCTTCTGCTTGGCCCAGGCGGACATCCTTTGCAATCTTGCTGAGCTCGGTGTTAAACCGATCATAAAGAGCCTCGTTCTCAGCGCTTGCCTCGCGATAAAGTTCGTCCAATTTCTTTACGCGCTTCTCGCTAAGAATCAAGGACGACTCCAGGTCTCGCTCGAGAGCGGTTGTGCGGCCATTGTATTCCCAGGTAAGCGTCTCAAATCGGGTTTCAAGATTGCGCATGCGAGCTTCAAGGGATGCGGTGGTAGCGGAATGTGGATTGGTGTCTGTACGGTCAAAACCAAGCCCCAGATTCATTGCGTTGGATTTCCTTGGTGACGTGAGCCTCAGAGAACGTAATTCATTACCAAGCTCTGTAAGCTCGTCTTTCAGGCCCAATTGAGTTGAGTTTTGGGTCTTCTTTTCTAGTTGAACACGATCACGTAGCTAAAGAATTCTTAGTGAAGTCATTTTATTGAAACAAATACAATGTGACCAACCTTTTTTGGGCTTTGTATCCGCAGTTTCTGCGGTTTCTGCAAGAAAGACATAGATTGTGGCCGCTTAGTATCGGAAGTGTTAATGGCTGGCCGCTCCCGAAGGGCCGGAGTCCGCTGAGGAATGCCTGATATATGAGATCTCCTCCTTGACACTTCTGCTGGCAACTCTGATACTCTGCTCCTGGACTTGGTTGTGCGCTCCGACTGTGTGTTCCTGGGATCAACGTTCTCCTTCCTGCTCGGCGGAGACAGACGGGGCGGAGACAGACGGCGAGTGGGTGATCTCAGTCGCGTCGGTGGACTGGATTTTGCTGGCGGCTTAGAACACATTGGTGATTTAACGCGCATGGGGGATGTTGCTATGTAACTGCTTTGAGGTCTGGACTGCTTGGTGGGTGTTACCACTTCTCCTCGCGGGCGGCTAGAAGGGGTCATCGGGTGGAGCTGTTTAGACGGAGAGATACTATATGCATCTGGTGATGATGTGGGTTGTCGTAGATCCGAAAGAGAACTCCTTCGCTTTCTGCGAGTCCGTGGCATGACATCTTCAGAGACTTCTCGGAAAGAAGATAGAGAAGGCGGGTTTTCGTACCCAGTGCCCGGCCTCAAGATTTGCTCCTCAGAGGCGAACCCGTGCGGACGATATGGCCGATCACGGGATGTAGGGCGATCACGGGATGTGGGACTATCACGGGACGTAGGACGATCGCGAGATGTAGGGCTAAGGAACCCCGGACGAGCATCTACATCAGTCGACTTGGAACGCATTAGAGAGCCCTTGGGTGTATTGGGTTCAGAGCCGGCTGGGCTTTGCTTCTTGCTCAATGTCCGTAGAATTGCTGCGACTTTGCTTTCGCCGTCATTTTTCGAGGTATCCCTATGCATACCAAAGCCAAAGCGTTTGCGAAAAGAGGAGGAGTTGGAACCGACTGACCCAGTATTAGTATGCGATTTCGATTGATCACAGGTCAGTGTTCCTTCCACAGAGGTACCTCCAGGAATGAATTCTTCAAAGAGGTTGTCAAAGTCTTCAACCAGTCGATCCAAAAGGGATACATGATGGCTGGGATCTCCGTCTTCAGTGAGTACTTCCGCAAATGCCATCGTCAAGGCACCGCGATCTCCGTCATTTCCAGATGCATCTAGTAGCTCGGCAAGTAGTCGAATAATCGCAGCTAGAGCTCGTCTATTTTGCGGGCTCATATCTGCCACAAAATTCCGGAATTGCTCATCAAAATCTCGAGGTATCATGGTGTCAAACTGGCTCTGTACCCATTTAAGAGAAGAGGAGCTCAATATAGGGCCCATGCTTCGTCTCCAAGCGTTCGCCAAGAAGGTTTCAAATGCGACGAAAAGCGTATCAACTGGCACTTCGGCGGCAGCCTGGATTCTGCTTGGGTCTTCCAGCAAAATGTTGTAGAGCTCATTGACCGGCGCCCGGTCAACCTGATCTCTGACGCGAAGCATTCGACCCAGTATGTTCCCACTCCGAGACTGCAGAGAAAGTACATAGGCAGCAAATGTTTGCTCCAGCAACCCAAACTGAGTATCTAATCCATTGGCGGATCCCCCGACAACAGATATTTTGTTTCCAATTTCCTCTTTCTCTTTGTCTTTGTCGCCGTCCTTCTCTTTGTCTTTTCCGGGGAATGTCGAAGGCAAAGTGTTCGATCTAGACAGAGTGCTTCTTGGCGGGGGCATTTTGGGGAATTCGCCGGTAAGAGCGGCCGATCCTTGCCCTTTGAGGCTCGGCACATTATCACGACTACCCCCCAACAGGTTTGAGATCAGTTTGGTCGGTGAAGGTGGCCGGAATCCCCGCGAAGACTTGACCTGCGTGATTAAATTGCTGGCGATATACCGAAGGATTTCAAAATTGGCATGAACCATTGGATCTGTCAATGCTGGGTTTCGGGGGCTGTGCAGAGGCGAGAGTAAAGATTGAACTGTGTTTCTACATGTCAGTGGCAAACAAAAACATAATTGTCGAGGGAGGGTCACTTACGACGCCGTGAAAGAGTAGGAATGAAGGTTTCCACCGTGATCAAATCTGTAGACCCAGATCCAACCACTGAATTGATGTCTAGCCTGTGTTGATCTCCATTTGGAGGAGATATCGATATGATGACCTCAAGATTGGAATCTCTCAACATTTGACCACAAGTTGTCTTGGAAGCATCGAAAACAATCCGTATGGGGGATGACAGGATCTGATTGAGCGCAGCACTTTCACCGTCCTCACACACACAGGCCAGTATCCCTACGTTACTCGCAGCTCCGGTGGGAGGGCTTCGTAGTGTCCATTTGCCTCCTTCTCTTTCACTCTCGGGGAATCGACCCTCAATCTTCGCTTTGCACATTTCTTCAATTAGTCGGTTGGCCCTTCCTTCATATATTCCAGCCAATTCCAATGCAAGCAGGTCAGCTCCGGCGCTTGTCTCATCTGTCAAGGACTTGGCTGAAGTTGGTGCAACAAATAAAATCCGACCACATGCAGATTGCATACAACGCACGTTGTGAAAGTCTAGAACCTGCACGACTTGGAGTTCAGCTTGTGGTAAAGATGTGGACATATCACCGGTTGAAGCAGCCGCATTGTCGACGTCAGCCAGCACACCACGAGCTGTGGTCCGGCTTTCGGCGGGCTTTGCTAGAAGGATCAGGCAGTTCTTGTAAAGAAGCATGATCCCTGTGCAGTTTTCAAACGACTGTGTCTCTAGATTGTAGGGAGGGGTTATCTCGTTGAAGTCGACTGCAGTAATCAGCCGTCCTTCAGGAAATGTCTTCGCCGGCCATCCGTTGACCAGCTCTTTTAGGCGTTGAAGGCTTTGGGCGTGGCTCGAGGGGGAATTGTTCTCCAGTGCACAGATATCCTTAACGATGTCTCGTGCTTTCAGCAAAGTTCGCACGGCGGGATGGACCAAGGGCAGATTGCTAGTCATAGTGTCAATCAGCAGGCTGTATCGAGGGAGTCGCTGAACGGGTTCCATCAACAAAGAGCGCAATCTTTGCTCCCCCGTCTCATATACTCTCCTTGAAAAGCTAGAGTTCTTATCTTTCATGAACGAATTCAGAGTTTGTGTAAAACCTGTATGTGCTCGCATGTACTCTCCATAAGGCTGTGAAAATTGTGGTAGCCATTCAAACAAAGCCTTTGCGAATGCCAGAGCTCCAAGCGGATCCGCTCTGTCTCTGGGCAGACCCCGATGCTTGGAAGGGAGCTCCGTGTCCTGGCCAATATCTGTGATGGCATCTTTCTCGGTTTCATCGAGCACTTGTCGAATGACGTTGAGGAAGCCGAGGTTGACTTCCAGAATTTCATTCAAACAGGGCGGGAATAATGCCGCCAAAGCTGCCTCGTCGGGACTGTTGCTGGATGGCCCTCTGCCCACGGCCTTTTGCCGAAATTCGTCGGCTACTTCATGGACGAGAGAGTACAGTTTGGCGACATATCTTTCTTCGGTATCCACAAGCTCACACATGGTAAGACGAAGAGCTTCTTTCTGGCTTCTTGCGAATAGCCGCGATTTGCTGACATTGGTCGGCTGGGACGGCGCACGCTTCAGTCGAGACGTTGGCAAAAACATAGGATCTCCCAAGGCTTCTATCAGGGGTGTATATGGGCCGTACTGGGGATTCTGACTCTCCCCAAGCTCCGATCCCGCACTCTCTCGCCGGGAGACTGGTTGTATAGTGCCCATAGGAAGTACCACATCGATGTCAATCCATGGAACCTTACGTTCTTGATATGAACTCCGAATATCCTGAATGATTTCCAATGGGTCGTCCACCTTTGTCATACGGTTGGCCAGATCCGCAGCATGCATCTCATCGAACATCTTGGGCGCCTTCCCCCCGGGTCTTCCAGCGCGAGCCACCCCAGTCAGGCGGTGCTTAACCGGTTCAGACAGCTCGGCAAAATACCTCAGCATGCTGACGGCAAGTCCGCGACACACTTCATCTCCTTGTTTTTCGCGGGGTAGATGGTTGACCGCAGCATACACGGGGGCAGCCGGTGACACCGTAATTCGAGGATAACTTTGAAACCCAGCGGGTGTGAATATGTGGGCCTGGATGCGGGAACTGCTCACAGTGGCATTGGCAGTGGAAACAGCACCATAGAAGACGAGGATGGATGATAAACATGGGTCGACGACGTGATAAAGGGTGAGATGTTCGAAGGGCAGGTCTGCCATTGTAGGGGTTGCGGGGGGAGGTGCGATAGTTGCCATAACGAATGGTGGCTTCACTTGCGATGCAAGTGCAGAATGCGAGAAGCTGTTGAGCAAGCGCTATCGTGTGCGATAAACAAATGAAATGCGCGTGAGTTTGGTGTAGAAGGAGCGATGCAGTTGCAAGGTAGCGAGTGACGGGAAACACGAGGACACAATGTTTGGAATTGAATGAGAGGAATTGTCCTAGGCTAAGTGAAAGGCAGTTAAAGATCGTATGTAGGATGTGTTAACTATCTTGTTGTTGGTAAAGCGATTGCGACATTCGTACTCCCCTCCATAGAGACCGAAGTACAGAAGATATCCACTCAATTCATAGATTCAAGTAGACACGTGCAGTGGCATAAATAAACGATTAAAAGAAAAGAAATCCCCAAATGGTAAGTTAAAGGAAGTGCAAGGTTGAGGGGAGGCGTTTGTTTTGAGGCGGGGACGGAGAAGCGGTGGGTTGATATCGCGATAGCCCGATAGACCAAGAGCGGGTATTAGCGCCTGACACTAAGAATAGTAAAAAACAAAATTTAAAAAAGAATGACTTGAATATGCCCAGCACACCCCGGTAGGTTGTCAGAATTACATTCTCAACTTTAAGTTGTCCTACTCTGTTGTTTTTAATGTCTAATCTACTGTGTTTTGCCCGGCCAACGCTATCAACACCGTTGCTATCGTTGCAATCCCCAACTGCTGCAAGGACTGGTGTGACAGGTCACATCTGCATGATTCGCTGGACATATAGGATTCCTCGCGCCTGGTTTACTTTCTATAGTTTCGGATCGTTGTTGTACAACATACACGAGCTTGATGCTAGACCTGTGTGTGTTTCATGTTAAGAATAGACAGATATACTAGAACTGTCTTAAGCACAATGCCTATATACTTTGGGCTTTTTTTTAAAAAAAAAACACGTTTCATGCTTAATAACCGCACTTAACTTGGAAATTCCATTGTTGTTATCTCGGAAAACATATCAGCCACTATTGATGATCGCCGCGTTAATTTTTTTGATAAATTCTTGCACAACTACACAATGTCCCTAGAGCTTATTATTTCCCTTTTGCCTCTCACATGGACATTTTTTTAAATGTGAATGTCTGGCTATAATGTCTATGTTGGCCATGTAGTTGTTGAACTGGCATGGACGGATGTCAACAAAGGCGAAATCAAACATTTTGGATCCATGGATGCAGCCCAATGCCAGATCGTACCTTGATACCCCATCAGTACAGAGTCTGATCCAATCAAATCAGCCTAATACAGATTTGATGGTAATTTACAGTACAGCCCTTGCCATAGGCGGTGAGTGAGCGGGGGAAGACGCTAAGCTCGATATGGCAAGCAGCAGTATGATGATTAAGAGACCAGCTGTTTCGTTCCGACCTCAAAAATGGTGTCACAACAGCGAGCATCTTTTATGATGCTCGATACCACCATGGAATTGGCCTCCCTTCCAATCGCCATCGACCCGGTGGCTTTGGTAACCACTGAATGTATCACCGTCACCTCGTCCATGCGCAAGCATGCTCGCTGGGCTCACTCCTCGGTTTCCGCCATCTTGGGCGGCAATGGAGCCTCTCGTGTTTATGAGCGGGATAACTCTGCACCATTGAGCCCAAGCCCACGTAGGAAAAGTCAATCGACACCTCGCCCCGATGAAGATCATGTCCTGGCCAATCGGTGGGGTCTGCGAGGGAAGAAGGGGAAGAGCATACAGGACAACCCTTTGATATCGGCCTTCACACGACTGCGGAGTGATTTGAAAGATTGCAAAGATATTCGAAATTTTGATACCCCAGCTTTACTTCATCCATTCTTACAGGTCGTTCGTTCCTCTTCGACCTCTGCCGCAATCACCTCCATCGCCTTGGTGTCCATCACCAAGTTCCTCTCTTACAATATTATCAACCAAAACTCTCCACGGCTTCCCATCGCGATGCAGCTACTCTCAGCTGCCATTACGCACTGTCGATTTGAAGCGAGCGACTCGTCGGCGGACGAGATAGTGCTGTTGAGGATTCTGAAGTTAATGGAGGGCATACTTTCACGACCCGAAGGTGAACTTTTGGGTGACGAGAGCGTCTGTGAGATGATGGAAACTGGTTTGAGCATGTGCTGCCAGGGTCGTCTGTCAGAGGTTCTACGGAGATCCGCCGAAATGGCAATGGTCAAAATGTGCCAGGTGATTTTCATGCGTCTGTCGCACCTTGATCAAGAAATACCCGCGGGACCAGATCCGTTTGCGGGTGAAGAAATAAAAAAGGACCCACCATCTCGTCTGAAGATGGACCCTTCGGTCAATGGAGACACTGTCACATCGCAGCATCTCTCGGCTATCAGCGCAGACACAGCGGCCGCAGAACGACACAGCACCAGTCGAGAGGGATCACCCGAGCAGGCAGGAAGTGGCAGCGCAGCTGCTGCTGCACCGCCGAGCCCGTACGATGATCCTGAAACCGAGCTTCAGCCTTATTCTTTACCATCAATCAAAGAATTGTTCCGTGTGTTGATCGATCTGTTGGATCCTCATAACCGGCAACACACCGACGCCATGCGTGTAATGGCACTCCAAATTATTGATGTTGCCTTGGAGGTAGCAGGTCCCTCCATTGCTCGGCATCCCAGTCTGGCCGCTCTGGCCAAAGACGATCTTTGTCGATACCTCTTCCAGCTAGTCAGATCAGAGCACATAGCCATTCTGAACGGCTCGTTGAGGGTGGCTGGCACATTGTTATCGACGTGCCGGCCGGTTTTAAAATTACAGCAGGAACTCTATCTTTCATACTTAGTGGCCTGCTTGCACCCTCGCGTGGAAATACCGCGAGAACCTGGTATCGATCCATCACTCTACGAAGGTATTCCACAGTCACCAAAATTGGTGAAACAGCCGGCCTCGCAGGCCAATAGCGGAAGATCCACACCTGTTCCCGTTAAAGACCGACAGAAACTAGGACTCGAAGGTGGAGCGAGAAGGCCTGAAGCTCGAGAGGCAATGGTAGAGAGCATTGGCATGTTGTCACGCATTCCTAGCTTCATGGTTGAGCTTTTCGTCAACTATGATTGTGATGTGGACCGAGCAGATCTATGCGAGGATATGATTGGATTGCTCTCTCGCAATGCTTTCCCAGACTCTGCAACTTGGAGCACTACAAATGTACCCCCATTATGTCTCGATGCTCTCTTGGGCTATGTGCAGTTCATTCATGACCGGCTGGATGATGAACCGATACAAGGAGACTATCCTCCTCAAGAAAGCTTGAAAAAACAACGTCATACGAAAAAAACTATCATCAGGGGAGCACAGATGTTCAATGAGGACCCCAAGAAAGGAATCGCATTCCTTGTGGAACACGGTGTTATTGAGGATGCGAAGAACCCTGTTCTGGTCGCTCGCTTCTTGAAGGGAACTACACGTCTATCGAAGAAAGTCCTCGGAGAGTACATCTCCAAACGTGGCAATGAGGAGTTGTTGGGCGCGTTTGTGGATCTCCTTGACTTCTCAGGGCGTAGTGCCGTTGAAGCGCTTAGGGAACTACTCAGTTCATTCCGTTTGCCCGGCGAATCGCCGCTTATTGAGCGAATTGTGACGACTTTTTCGGAGCATTACGTTGAAAAGGTAAAGCCGGATGGTATCGCCGACAAAGACGCGCTGTACATTCTGACCTACGCCATCATCATGCTGAACACTGAACTCTACAACCGCAACGTGAAGTCACAAAATCGTATGACTTGCGCTGGCTTCGCAAAAAACTTGCGAGGTGTCAACGGGGGTGGAGACTTCGCGGAGGAATTCCTCGAGGATATCTATGATTCTATCAAGAACAACGAAATAATTCTGCCCGACGAACACGAAAACAAGCATGCATTTGACTATGCTTGGAAAGAACTCTTACTGAAGTCCTCGTCTACCGGCGACATCATAGTTGGAGAGACCAACATGTATGATGCCGAAATGTTTGCGGCTACGTGGAAACCAGTGATCGCGACGCTCTCATATGTCTTCATGTCTGCATCAGATGATGCAGTGTATTCTAGGGTGGTCAATGGTTTCGATCAGTGTGCACAGATTGCTGCCCGCTACGGTTTGACTGAGGCGTTCGACCGTATCGTCTTCTCTCTTGCATCGATCAGCACTTTGGCTACTAGCAATCCTCCGAGCACATCGCTCAACACAGAGGTCCAGGTAGGCCAGAAGAGCGTGATGGTAAGCGAGCTAGCCGTCAAATTCGGCCGAGACTTCAGAGCACAACTGGCAACTGTAGTGCTTTTCCGAGTACTCTCAACAAACGAGGCAACTGTCAAACATGGCTGGGGGCATATCGTCCGAATCTTGAGTAACTTGTTCATCAACTCTCTCATCCCGCCATTCGATGCTAGACTCACGTCTGAACTTGAAATCTCTCCAATTCCGCTCCAGCCTCCATCACAGGTGGTTGACCGGGATGGACGCAACAACGACACGGGAATTTTGTCTGCATTCACCTCTTACCTTTCAAGTTATGCGGCAGATGATCCTCCTGAGCCTTCGGACGAAGAACTTGACAACACACTCTGCACAGTCGATTGTGTGACTGCGTGCTCAATATCCGAAATTTTAACAAATATAAAGTCAGTAAAGGTGTTTCTTTGAACAATTTGTGGCCATGAAGCTGACTTCTCTTGCAGATCCCTTCCCCTGTCTTCGTTGGAGATGCTTGTGGAGGCTTTACTGTCCCTGCTTCCAGAGGAAAACACACCAGCCGTCATCGTCGTAAAGCACGAACGCCCGACACCAACGTCGAGGGCTGCTAACAGTAGAGCTGATCCTAACCAGCCCAAATACGATCCTTCGGTGGTATTCGTTCTGGAATTGGCAACGGTGCTGACTCTGCGTGACGAAAAGACCCTGGAGGTCCTTGGCGAAAACCTGGCAACAACTCTTCAAACACTGGTGCGCGATGCGAAGAACCTCCATCCGCTAACTGTGTCTC